TCTAACCACCCCACTCCCAARATAAGGTCATTAACCCATTCATGAAAGCAGAGCTCCCATGACCTAATGCTCTTTTAGGCTCCACCTCCCAACACTGTTGCAGTAGGAATTAAGTTTCCACATGTGAGCTTTGGGGGACACATTGATTCTATAACATCCTTATGTACTGACTTTATGAACTCCTTATGTACTTTATGTACTCCTRACTTTAAAGAACTTTTTTTTWAAAAATATTTTTTTAGATGTATGGACCTTTTATTTTATTTAATTATTTATATGTGGTGCTGAGAATTGAACCCAGTGCCTCATACATGCTAGGCAAGCCCTCTACCACTGAGCCACAGCCTCAGCCCCTAAAGAACTTTTTGAACAGAGTAAATATCAGAGGTGATTAGGGAGAATGAACCCGTTGTTCATCGCCAATGTGTAGTAGAAAAGAATTTTGCTGCCAGGTGTGGTGGCGTGCACCTGTAATCTCAGCGGCTCCAGAGGCAGAGGCAGAGGCAGTAGGATCACAAGTTCAAAAACCAGCCTCAGGAATTTAGTGAGACCCTGTCTCTAATAAAATACAAAATAGGGTAGGGATGTGGTTCAATAGTCAAGTGCCCCTTTGTTCAATCCCTGGTACCCCACCCCCCCAAAAAAATTTTGCCAGCTGATGGATGAGAAATGTCATAAATGGCTACAGCAACATAGCCTTCTTTTTGGCTTCATCTGTGGAGCCTTCCAAAGGACTGATCAAACCCTCACCATCATTTATCCAGAGCTTTGCTAAGGGGTAGAGGACRACTTAGCCTCTGAAGAATACATAGTAAATAACTAGGTATAAGAATTAGCTGTTTAGGTATAGTACAATGTTTTTCTATAGCAAATACTTAATAATTTCTAATGGAAAACTGTGGTGTGTGATAAGCAAGAATAGAAACCTATATAACATGGGAAAATGATACAGTCCATCTAAAGCCACTAACCAGAAATATTAATGCTATGCCTTATGCATAGAAACCTAAAAGAGTTTGAATGCACTGGTGTATGCCTATAATCCCAGCGACTCAAGAGGCAGGAGGATAGCAAGTTCAAGGGCAGCCTGGCAAAAACGAGACCCTGYCTCAAAATAAAAAGGGTTGGGAATGGGCTGGGGTTGTGGCTCAGCGTTACAGCGCTCGCCTAGCATGCGCAAGGCCCTGGGTTCAATCCTCAGCACCACATAAAAATAAATAAATAAACAAAATAATGTTATTGTGTCCAACTACACATGAGCTTATTGTACATTATGGCTTCTGACTGTGAAAGATCTTTGTTATCTTTGAAGTCAGTTCTTAAAAAAAAAAAAGAGTCCATTATCTTGCATGATTTATAAAGAAAACTTACTATTAAATTATTTAGAATCTAGTAAGTTGCTCTTAGGGGAAGATTAAATTTAGATAACAGGAGGTAAATGTATTCTTCCAAGGCAGTATGTGGGGAGAAATCCTTATTTTGCCAGGTATTTTAAAATACTGTTTGTGGGATATGGTTTCTTTTAGAGGGGTCCTCCCTGAAAAACATTCCATTGCACCCAGTTGTATCTGTAGCTGTTTCCTACAGAGTTGGAAACTGGGTGAAAACAGATGCCTTATAAAACCTGGCAGGTATGAAAAAAAGGCAAAAAAGTAAGATCAAATGTAAGAATGTAGAGTAAGGCTAGAATGGAGTAGGGAGACCTAAAGAGGAATCATCATAAAGAAAAAGGTCTTGAATTTTATAAAAAAACACTATGAGGGCTGGGGGTGTAGCTCAGTGGTAGAACACTTGCCTAGCACATGTGAGGCACTGGGTTCGATCCTCAGCACCACATGAAATTAAAAAAAAAAAAAAAAAAAAA